TAGTTTAACTGCCCGTACTGATTTTTTTGAAGTTAAAGAAGACTCCGGGAAAGGTCAGAAACAGGTCAGAAACACCTAAAAGGCAGCACTTGCCTAGCATCCATCCATCCATCCATCCACCCATCCATCCATCCATCCATCCACCTCAGCTCTTATCATTGCTACTTCTACTATTACTATTACTACTATTACTACATCTACTACTACTATTACTACTATTACTACTATTACTACTATTACTACTATTACTACTATTACTACTATTACTTCTACTACTACTACTACTACTACTAGTACGAGTACGACTACTACTACTACTACTACTACTGATACTACTACTACTACTACTGCTGCTACTACTACTACTGATAATACTACTACTACTACTGCTGCTACTACTATTACTACTGATAATACTACTACTACTACTACCACTACTACTACATTACTACTACTACTACTACGATTACTACGACTACGACTACTACGACTACGACTACGACTACTACTACTACTAGTACGAGTACGACTACTACTACTACTACTACTTCTACTACTACTTTCGAGACCAGAACCATGCCAATAATTAACATGGCCGCGCGGAATCCGCGCAGATGTTTTCAGGTCAAAAGGACATTCAAGCTAGCTCCAATTAAAAACAGGTCAGAAACACCAAAAAGGCAGCACTTGCCTAGCATCCCATCCATCCATCCATCCATCCATGCCTCCATGCCTCCATCCATCCACCTCAGCTCTTTTCATTGCTACTTCTAATATTACTATTACTACTTCTACTACTCCTCCTCCTCCTACTACTACTAGTAGTAGCACTAGTACTAGTATTTGGGGCACTAGTAATAATATTACTTTGACGATTACTAAATTGTTCCTAGTTTAACTGCCCGTACTGATTTTTTTGAAGTTAAAGAAGATTCCGGGAAAGGTCAGAAACAGGTCAGAAACACCTAAAAGGCAGCACTTGCCTAGCATCCATCCATCCATCCATCCACCCATCCATCCATCCATCCATCCATCCATCCACCTCAGCTCTTATCATTGCTACTTCTACTATTACTATTACTACTATTACTACATCTACTACTACTATTACTACTATTACTACTATTACTACTATTACTACTATTACTACTATTACTACTATTACTTCTACTACTACTACTACTACTACTAGTACGAGTACGACTACTACTACTACTACTACTGATACTACTACTACTACTACTGCTGCTACTACTACTACTACTGATAATACTACTACTAGTACTAGTACTGATACTACTACTACTACTACTACGACTACTACTACTACTACTACTACTACTAGTGCGAGTACGACTACTACTACTACTACTACTACTAGTACGAGTACGAGTACGACGACGACGACTACTACTACTACTACTACTTTCGAGACCAGAACCATGCCAATAATTGACATGCCAAACACCAAAAAGGCAACACTTGCCTAACATCCCATCCATCCATCCATCCATCCATCCACCTCAGCTCTTATCATTGCTACTAATACTACTACTACTACTACTCCTGCTACTACTACTACTACTGCTACTACTACTGCTACTACTGCTACTACTACTACTACTCCTACTACTACTCCTACTTCTACTCCTACTCCAAACGCAACCTCTCTCTCTCTCTCCCTTGCCTATTCCCTCACCCTCCTACCAGAATTCCTACGCCTACTCCTATTCCAATTTCCACTACCACTACTGCTAGTACTACTGCTACTGCTAGTGCACTGTGAGTTTTCCGGACCGTTTCCGGACCGCACAAGCTTATTTTGCTCCCAAATTTGAAATCGAATGCGTTCACGCATGGATCCTTACTCTCATTACTAGATTTGCTACTACCTCAGCACTACCACCACACCCGCTGCTACTGCACCACCCTGCACCACCACTACCACCACTACCACTAGTACACCTAGGAATTTCTGCTCTTGCTTTTAAATCCAATTGCGCTCGTGTGAAGGGTCAGAAACCAGTCAGAAACCAGTCAGAAACCCGTCAGAAACCGGCCAAACGCAATCTCTCTCTCTCTCTCCCTTGCCTATTCCCTCACCCTCCCATCAGAACTCCTACGCCTACTCCTATTGCAATTTCCACTACCACTACTGCTAGTGCTAGTGCTACTGCTAGTCCTGCTGGTACTACTGTGAGTTTTCCGGACCGTTTCCGGACCGCGCAAGCTTATTTTGCTTCCAAATTTGAAATCGAATGCGTTCGCGCATGGATCCTTACTCCCACTACTAGATTTGCTACTACTCTTAGTACTACCACCACACCCGCTGCTACTGCACCACCACTACCACTAGTACACCTAGGAATTTCTGCTCTTGCTTTTAAATCCAATTGACACGAGTTCCGCTGAAGGGTCAGAAACGAGTCAGAAACCAGTCAGAAACCAGTCAGAAACCGGTCAAACGCAACCATCTGTTTCCCCCTCCCTCCCTTTCTCTCTCTCTTTCTCTCTTTCCCTCCCTCTCCCTTTCTTCCCTTGCCCTGCTACTAGAACTCCTTCTCCTATTCCTACTCCTACTCTTACCCCTCCTACTACTACTACTATTACTACTACTACTACTACTCGTACTACTGTTACTACTAGTACTGCTAGTACTACTACTACTACCACTACTACTACTACGACGACTAGTACTACTAGTACTACTAGTACTACTAGTACTACTAGTACTACTAGTACTACTAGTACTACTGGTACTACTGCTGCTGGTACTACTGTAAGTTTTCCGGACCGTTTCCGGACCGCGCGAGCTTATTTTGTTCCCAAATTTAAAATCGAATGCGTTCACGCATGGATCCTCATTATATAATACATAACTTA